CCGGACAATGCAGCACATTAGCCTGGAGTCTAATGGATGCATGTTTTCATGATTTATGTTATTGCTCTGGCCTCATCCCTCTCTGGGCCATTCTCCAAGCTACACCCAGAGTTCCAATTCTTCAAGTGATGTCATGACTCTCCTTACAGTTCCGAGACACCTCCCCATCACCCTCAGGGTGAAGTCTTCATTTCTTGGCATGACACTCAATGTCCTTCAAGAGTTGGCCCTACTTACCTCCACCTTCATCTGTCCTTACTCCCTACTGCCCTAATTTTCCAGCCATTCTAAATGCCCCATCTATTTAATCCCCCCCACACACACACCAGGTTTACAGAGGCAGCTATGGAACCGGTGGCAGGGACAAGCATTTGAAACAAAAGGAACAGCATGTGCTAAGTCCTGGTTCTCTGGCAAGAGTCATTTCAGGCATCACTTCCTACGGAAGACCCCTGGCTGACAGCCTCTCCCTGTAGCCAGTCACTCCCCACCCCTGTGATAGCTCTGTGGACAGAGTGTGCTTCTGCCCCATCACTCAGACAAGGAAAAAAATGACCCTGCGATGCTTCTTCCTGGGCGGTAAGCTAGCACTTGATGTTTTATTCATATCGAATCACTAGTACCTACCTGCAGGTGAGCAAGTAAAAATAAACAATAGGCCAGGGTTTTGCCTAAGAACTTGTTCAATAGAGGCCGCTGTATACAGAAATAATAATAGCTAACCCTTACATATCTGGCACTTGCTGAGCATTTTATATGTGTTAACTCATCAAAGTCATATGGTAATCATCAAACCTACCATGAGGTAGGCATCTTTAATAGGCCCATTTTACAGACAGAAAAACTGAGGCACAAGAGATGAAGTAACTTCCCCCAAGGCAACAGAGCCAGAAAGCAGCGCAGCAAGCATGCTTATCTGCGCAGTCTGGCTTCGGGCCCAGCCCTTGTCCATTTTACCACCTGCCTCTCTAAGGAAAAGGCACCTAAAGGTGGGAGAGGCAACGAAAGTCTCTTCTAGAGCCAGGAGGGTTCTAGTGGTGATGTTGATTTTGTTCTCTGCATCAGCAGAACCTAGAGCTTCTACCAGGGTTATCTCGGGGAACTTGGGCATCCAAAGCTCACCCAAACCCAAATACAAGAGTGCCAAGTTCCAGCCTTGGCAAAAGAAGCTGGCAGGACTGTACCCTCACAGTTGGGAATGGCCCGGCTAAAGGCCCTTCCCCTTGTCCCCTCTGCCAGCCCCACTCTGCCCTCCCTC